GGGGAGAAAAGGAGGCCTGGGCAGCCCAGCCCCACTGTGGGCTCAGGGCTGTGAGCACCATGGCCTGGACTCCTCTGCTCCTCGCGCTCCTCTCTCACTGCACAGGTAGGGACAGGCCTGGGACCAGGCTTCTTCCCTTCCTCCTCAGTCTCCTGGGAAACGTCCCCTGGTCTCTGCCCATCACTGACAAGTGTCTGTGTCTGCAGGGTCCCTCTCCCAGCCTGTGCTGACTCAGCCGCCCTCCCTCTCTGCATCTCTGGGATCCACAGCCAGACTCACCTGCACCCTGAGCAGTGGCTTCATTGTTGGTGGTTCTTGGATATCCTGGCACCAGCAGAAGCCAGGGAGCTCTCCCCGTTATCTCCTGGTATATAAATCAGACTCAGAGAAGTATTATGGCTACGCGGACCCCAACCGCTTCTCTGGTTCCAAAGACACGTCCGCCAATGCGATGCTCCTGCTCATCTCGGGGCTGCAGCCTGAGGACGAGGCTGACTATTACTGCACTACAGGTCATGGCAGTGGGAGCAGCTATCGTTACACACAGTGTCTCAGATGTCGAGGAAGTGAGACCAAAACCCGTGGGCCCCAAGGTGAGGTTTTCAGAGGAAAGTGACAAGTTACTGCGGAGGTTTTCATTCAGTGAGGTTTCTGAGGTCAACTGCCTAGACATCACGGAGTTTGCACACCCAGCACAATCTCACATTTGTCACTGAAATAGGATAATCAGTCAGGAAGTACAGCAGGTAAAGGTTTATTTAAATATAAAACATTTTAGGACAACTAAGAAAATCCTAACAAGAAACACAGGACACAGAAATGCAGATCACCACACACGTGATAAAAAGTCAGTTCCTGAAATGAAGGAGCCGTGACACCTTCCACTGGCCACTGTGAGGCCTGCAGAAGCCATGATGTGTCTGAGTCCATCCCATCAGATCTCTGTGAACCTGCACATGCATCTCATGACCTGAAAGGTCTGGTGGAAAGTCCTCCTTTGAACTTGCCCCTGAGTGTGTTCCCGGGAAATTCCCTGAACAGCCCTGTGAGTCCCAGTAACCAGAGGAAGGTG